AACTTTATCCTTTCCTATATTATGATTCCCCTACGCTACATTGGGGAGCGTGCATATCTATTTGTCAAAACTTCGTATGTACCAAAGTAATGGCTTCTACCATCTTCTATTCCCTAAAACTGTTACTTTATCACTACAACCGCCATCCCCTCCCCTTTCTTGTAAAGTCTTTGTTGTCATTGGTGCCTATTTTTGTACTTATGCAATTTTCTGTTTAATAAATGTATATCCCCATTTCCCTTCTTTTCCCCCCTGTTGAAATTAATAAAATCTTTGAACACGAAAAAGTCTTCCTGTTTCCCCAATACATTGTTCTGAAGCTTCACTATTGGTTAGCAAGTCATGTTTGATAATGGGGCACAGTCTGTCATAAATGTCTTGGCATATTTGGATCACATCAATGATGCTACATGGCTTGCATTTAAGGCTCCATGCACACTGGGCGTTTTCTTAACGCTGGTAATGTTAGCTGTGTAAAGTCACGTTAAAAACGTGAGTTTTTCAGCTTTTTTTTAGCATTTTCGCATTAGCATTTTGCTGTGATTAGTGGCGTTTTCCCATGTTTTCCCGCATTTGCGTTTTTAGGATTTTTTGTGCTTTTTTACCCCCCCAAAATATGGGGGGTAAAAAAACATCCAAAAATGCCGGTTTGCGACGGTTTACCGTGTTTTGTTGCGTTTTTCAGCATTAGAGCATTTTTACAGCTAAGAAATCCTTTAGAAACCCACTAGTCCTGGGTTTTTTTCCAGCCAAAAAACGTCCTAGCCAAAAAATGTTGATTACAGTCTATGTGTGCATGGGCACATAAGATAACATGCTGGGGGGTTTACTAGCTGTAGAAAAAAACATCAAAAGCCAAAAACAGCAGCTGTAAAAATGTCAAGTGTGCATGGGAACAAAGCAGTCCACTGGAAAATCCTCAGAATAGCTTCTTTAAGGAGGAATTATACTTCCATCTTTGAAACTGGGTATTGGCATCCTAGTGAGATTTGATTTAGCATATATAAAGTCAGAGTGTCATGACAGTCACTTGAAATGCTGCAAAAGTTTAGTAGTGAATAACTGGGGTGGAGCAGTGTGTGGGGGAAGAAATAACTGATGACCTTGTGAGAAAGTCAGTGTTTGCATATTGCTTTAGATAGTAATTTCCTGTATCTAAACACCTAGTTGTTCAGTTGATTTAGATGAGGACTAAGAGTCTGGTGATTATCTGCTCCTGTCCTACTTAATCTTGCTAGCTTTGGAATGTGCGCACACTGAAAGAGACTCACGCTGATACACATAAGTTCAGTCTATGAACACTTCTAGTTTATTATAATGAGAAAGAGCTTATATATGCAGTATGATGCAAACATCACGTGAGAGCAGCATAAGCATTATATTAGTCTTTGATTGGTCACTTTACATGAAAACAATCTCCTTCAGAGTATAGGCGTGATCTCGTCCAAGGTCTTAGCTATAGAAAGAAAAATATTCCTTTGTTCTTTAAGTTCACTCGATGGGAGGGGTTGCTGAGCAGACATTTCTTGAGCAAGGATTTCTTAAAGTACCACAAAGCCCAGCAAGCAGAAAATATACACATAAAATATATATATATATTCATACAAAACATTTAGAAATCTAAAAAGTATGAAAGTATAAAGGTAGCTATGTATAAAATGTATAGAAATATTTATATATTCAACAGGAAACCAAATAGGCATTTTACCATATCCATCACACAGTGAAGGACACAGAGCTTGTATTCTTAGACCATGAGTTATATACAGCTACCTTCAGGTGATTGGACACTGTGAGCACCCCCTCCTGCTGAACCACACCAGGCCACATGCCCTCAACATGGGGGGGTGCTTTGCCACAAGGGCCTCTTGCCCACAACTGTGGCATGACCGGTGGTTGTGGGGGTCTGTGGGCAGGGGGCTTATTGGAATCTGGAAGCTCCCTTTAACAAGGGGGCCCCCAGATCCTGCCCCCCCATGTGAATGAGTATGGGGTACATGGTACCACTACCCATTCACAAAAAAAAAGTGTAGTGTAAAAATGACAGGGGGCATTCTCTGACAAGTCCTTTATTAAAAACAAAAATAAAAAAATGTCCCCCGAAGTAGATCCAACATCAATCACAATGCATGCTGCCACCACCGACTCAAATAAAGGAGAAAAAAAAACAAACAAACTGCTCCGCTTTCGATACTGGCTCCCGCCATCTGATAGCTGCGCCGGGATGACAGTTCTTACATACTGTGATGATGTCACAAGTGTGACCTCATGATGTGCTGTGATTGGCTAAAGCATTACACCTGACCTGTGGTCAGGTGCATTGCTTTGGCCAATCACAGTGCACTGTCAGGGCCCAGTGCATTGTGGGGCACAGCGAGCAAACACACAAATGGCCCAAGTTCAAGTCAAACTTATGTTGGACTTGAATATGAAGCCCAACCCTATTTCCTATGGCTGTCTAATAGTTTCCAGATCAGTTACCCTCACTGTGTACCTTGGGGACCATACCTGGACCCCACCATACCAGTAATGTTTGCTTCGGGCACTCAATCCTGCATTAGGTGCTCACCTTGGCACATTGTGCAACTTCTGTAGTTAGCTGCAAGATGCTATATAGGTCCTTGGCCTTGTTCCATTTCTATGGCTCCAGACCCTGAAGACCCCTTCAGGTATGCCCACAGTGATAGTCAAAGCCTGAAACTTCAGTAGGCCCTGTGTCGTGGATAAGGTAAGACAGTGTTTCGTTATGTATTTACACTAGTTCCTGGCTGTTACTAACACAATCTGTACTGCGTAGCATGTTGGTACAAGCAGTTTAAAATTGGCATTTTTTTCTCCTTCATTCTGGACTTAGTCTCAGAAATGCAGATGATGCCTTCCTGCCCACCTTTTTTACCAATAATGCACAGAGTACATTGCTGCACTCTTACTGCCATCTTCTACAGAGATAGAGTCACAGTAAACGTTTCTGAAATCGCAATCCCTATATCCAGACATGCACAACCCCTTCCATTCTGCATTCCATAGCCATGTGAACCCTACTGAGGATTCCCTCACTTTGCAATGGAGAATCATGGGCACAAGGGAGCTGGGAAAAAAGGGGTGAATAGCATGTATTCTGCAGATAGCCTGCGGGAGACTCAAACCACTGCTAAGGGTCTACTGGGGATCTGCTCCCATTCTTGTTCTATTATGACTCCAATTACCTAACTCTGGCTCCCTCTCTGCAGCCTATATGACAAAAGCAGATTCTCTGCCACTCTGTTTGAATTCTTTAAAAAAACTCTTCAGTTTCCAGAGGCCAGAAATGCTACATGTCTATTATTCCACGTTATCTTGTTCTGTATTCAGAAGTGGAACCTCTTTTCCCTGACAATTTTATGGAGGTAAGTATTAAAGATCCTGATTTTGTAGCAAAGCCTGCAGAGCATATTCCTCCCTTGCATTTTGTGAGGTACAAGCAATGCCCTCATACCAAATGCTCTCAACTGTGAACACACTGATTGATGTGGTGCACACTAGTTTTTACTTAACAGCACCTGGCTTTTCAAAACCTAAACAGGCCACTATAACCCAATCCTGAAAGGATATTCCTCCTAGGATTTTTGAGACCAAAACATTCCTGTATACACCAGGTGATCTCTTCTTTCCACCTTGGTGAGGATATCCTTTCCAATCCTTTTCTTCCTTTTGTCCTGCCCCAAAATATGACAAGGAAATCACCCTACATTACCTAGATGTGGTCAGGGCTTTCAGGGTCTATCTGAAAGCCACAGCCTTTGCCCTGCCTGTGGACCCTTGTAGAGGTCATCCTTCTTCCCCTTCCACCATTACTAGTTTGAGGGCCACCCTTGGAAATCATGGGACCCTGTACACCCTACAAGTAGCTGCATATAACCAATAGTCTAAGCACACAAGCACGGTGTCCTGTACAGCACTCCAAGATCAGGAAATTACTGGTAAATCAAAATTCCAATTGTTACATACTCTCTCCTATTGTGATGTAACTTTATATAGTTTTATAGTTTATAGCTGCATGCTTAGTTTACACTAAAGGAATGCATAACAGAATCAAATATAGAGGGCACAATACAAAATACATTTGCTTTCTTAAAAAAATATATTTGCATTTAAACATAAATATATTTATATGTATTAACTTAAAATGTTTATACTGTGTTTATGAGTAATAAATATCAAAGGAAAAATAACATGACCATATCCTTTTCAGTCATAGACATCTTCTTAGTAACAGATTTGTGCCAAAAAGAAATAGAGTAAAAGGAATGTGTAGCTTTGTGAAATAGGGTTTGGTCTACAGTATTATATGTAGAATTAATTATAAATCTCTACATTCAAACCAATAAATCTAAATTCTCAAATAAACTTTGGTTTACTCTGTTTGCCTAATCATTTTATATATATTTTTTTACTTTAAAGTACATTTCTCCATAATTGCCATCATAATGCATCTTTACTCTTATGGTGTATATATATAATGGCCCTTTTCTGCTTCATTTTTTCATTTTTGTTATGATGTGCTATATTGGGTTATTCTCAACTACACTGGATAGAAGATGCCCATTTATAGCAGCCCCTAAATTTAATTATCTGAATGTAACTTAATGATCCAGTTTACCATTTTGCTGCAAAGTGCAGTTCTTAAAGAAGTATGGCATATCTTTTTGTAGTATAATTTTAAAACTCTTCTTTACTGTTTTAAAATTATAATGTTTTGACAATATATAGCATCACACGGTTAGCATACCTTCCTGCTGAAACTTACAAAAGTTATATTTTAGTCTCTGCAAATACACTACAGCAAGTGTTTTAAAGTACAGTTAATGGAGATTAGCAAATGTGTTCCACATCATTAGCTAGATGTAAAGTAATTAAAGTATCTCCGGTTCGGTGCTGTGGTAATCATTATACATTTCTGTTTCATGTGGACATTCAAAGTGCTTTTTAAAACTAAGAATATTCATTTTGCTGTTTTATAGAGCAATGTGACTCAGCAAGACTGGAAATTAAGAGCCATTCTTCAAGGTGATCGATTCTATGGGCCACCATTCTTGTATGTCCCAGCAGGGGAGACAGCGCAGTATTCTGTAATGTTTAAACCTATTTCTAAATGTTTCAGCACAGTAAGTACTTTAATAGGAACATACTTTGAAATATACCTAATCCTTCATAGATGATACCACTATCTCTTTTATCTTTGTACTTCCCAGCAGCATTAAGTAATATAGTACTGGTCTTTTTAGCCATTAAAGTGGTTGTTAAGGCTCAAGGTTTTTTACCTTTTATGCATTTTATGCATGAAGGTAAAAAAATCTTCTGTGTGCAGCAGTGCCCCCAGCTCCTCAATACTTACCTGAGCCTCATCGCAATCCAGCGATGTGCATGACAGTCTCAGCAGTCCCGGGTCTCTGCCTCCTCATTGGCTCCCACTGCTGTCAATCACAGAGAGTCAGCCAATGAGGATAGAGAGGGGGGTCAAGCCATGGCTCCGTGTGTCAATGGACACACAGAGCAGCGGGTGCCCCCATAGCAAGCTGCTTGCTGTGGGGGCACCCGACAGGAGAGAGGGGCCAGGAGAGCCTGCGGGGGACCCAAGAAGAGGAGGATCTAAGCTGCTCTGTGCAAAACCACTGCACGCAGGAAAGTTAAAAGTTCCATATAGCAAAACACAATTGAAACCAAGAAAGTGGAAAGGTGTAAAAAGATGAAATATACATAGTGTTTTGCGTAACTGTTCACCCCTTTGGACAAGAGCACATTTTTTAGTGTTGCCACTTGGCCTTTTTCCAGCATTTTTAGAATAAGGGAACAGTAACATTTTTGTCAGGTTTTTATTTCTATTTGTGACTTTATTGGGAGGGTTATCCCTCACTCTGTCCCTGTGATGCCTGTCAAAAAATTAAAGGGTGTAACTGTCACAGTTAGAGCAAGGCATGGACAGCAGTACAAATAATGTCAGGAGTTTTAACCCTTACATAATCTCTTTTTTGTTTTATCTGAGTGCCCATTGGAGAGTTGGGTTTTAAAATATGTTATATACAAGTAGATAAGTGATTTTTTATGCCCCTAATGTATTCAAAATAGTTCTTCATCTAACACCCCCCCCCCCCCCCCCCCCCTCCCCGAAAAAAAAAAACAGCAGCACATGGTTTATCCATATAAAACATACATTCGAATATGTGCTACAATCCTTAGATATTTTTTCTTTTTTTTTTTTTTTTAAACCTAATCCTCCTTTACTAAATGAAGGTCTCTGTTGGCACAGGTCAGTTATACAACAGTAAAATAAAAAACATACAAATAACGAGTAGACTACATTTTGATGTTTTGGGCTTCTTCAGTTATTTAGATCATATCATAATATATTGTGCTTGCAAATGTAATTTTGCTCACTTTGTGGGCAATCTGAATAGCTTTAGGGCTAGTTCACACTAGATGCAGTTCAGTACGCTTTTTTTCTGCATTAAAAATGCATGCACAGCTTTTTCCATGTATTCCAATGGCCCTAATTCACACTACTGCAGTCAGTTCCAGTCAGTTTCCAGGGCAGAAAATAAAGTAGAACATGCTGCATTTTTTCTGCATAGAACCATACAGGAACATAGCAAACTGCATCACAACTGCACCGGAGCGGAGTGTGGTGTGAACTGTAAGCAAAAACGTATCTGGAATGCATACAGAGTACATTTTTGTAGTGTAAACTGGTCCTTATGGCTAGTTCACACCAGATGCAGTCCAGTGCATTTTTTTCTGCATCAAAATTGCGTGCACAAAAAAAGTAGAACATGCTGCATTTTTTTTCTGCACAGAACCATACTGGAACCAAACTGCATCAAAACTGCATCGGAGTAGAGTGTGGTGTGAACTGTAAGCAAAAATGTATCCAGAATGCATTTTTGTGGTATGAACTGGCTCTTAAAGAGACTCTGTGACCCACAACAATGCAGGTAAATTCATGGTTCAAATCAAATATTTTATTTGCCTATTTGTAGCATTTTTCCTTTTGATACAATTTTTTAATTCACTTGCAATACCTTTGAGTTGGAAAATTTGAGTACTCTAGAAAGAGTCAATTCTCTTGCACAGCTCCCTCTCTAATTATACATCATAGCTCTCTTCTCTTATAGATGTTACTAATTACTCTGTGTACTGGCCAGACTCTTGAGCCTCTACTCTTCTTACATAAACTTTATGTAACTGTCAAGGTAGGAGCTGAATACTATAGCTTGTCACTCAAGTGATAAGCTATGTATTTGCTGGGGCTCGTGACATGACATCCAAAATGGTAGTACTCAGCAGCAGTCTAAGGCTTTTGGATGTTTACACAAGACAGAATTTTACAGGAATAAATTATGCATAAAATATGTTAGAGTCATATTAAGAGTCCATGCACACTGACTTAAAAAAATGCCAGTGCTCTCGCCGCAAAAAAAGCTAATTTTGTGTATTGTTTTGTAGTAGCATTTAGGAGCGTTTAGGAGGGTTTAGCAGCGTTTAGGAGCATGTAGTGTTTTTTTTCTGCCAGAAAACCTCACTTAAAAATGCAAAACAGAAGGATTTTTCTTCTACCTCTAAGTGCTGAGCTTAAAATATGCCTCTAAATGACCTAATGTGCATGGACACATAGGATAACATTAGTTGCTTATACAAACAACAGAAACAAGATATACACTATATTGCTAAAAGTATATCCCAAAAGTATTGGGATGCCTGCCTTTACACGCACATGAACGTTAATGGCACCCCAGTCTTAGTCTTTAGAGTTTAATATTTAGTTGGCTCACCATTTGCAGGTATACCAGCTTTAACTCTTCTGGGAAGGGTGACCACAAGGTTTAGGAGTGTGCCTGTGGGAATTTTTGACCATTTTCCCAGAAGTGCGTTTGTGAGGTCAGGGAATGATGTTGGATGAGAAGGCTTGGCTCGCAGTCTCCGCTCTAATTCATCCCAAAGGTGTTCTGTCTGGATGAGGTCCGGACTCTGTGCAGGTCAGTCAAGTTTCTCCACCCCAAACTCGCTCATCCATGTCTTTATGGACCTTACTTTGTGCTCTTGTGTGTATTCATGTTGGAACAGGAAGGGGCCATCCCCAAATTGTTCCCACAAAGTTGTGAGCATGAAATTGTCCAAAATGTCCTGGTATGCTGATGCCTTAAGAGTTCCCTGCATCGGAACTAAGGGGCCAAGCCCAACCCCTAAAAAGCAACCCCACACCATAATCCCCTCTGACAAAATTTACATTTGGCACAATGCAGTCAGGTAAGTTTATATACATGTACATGCTATTGGGATATGAGCACAGATATATCTATATTTGTTTGTTGTATTGCAGTTTAGTGGCTGGACGTAAACCTGGTTGCTCTCCTCCACTTTGTGTCTGTTTGCCCCATGTTGGCACTGTCTCCACAGTAGCATTTACATTGGCAGAGCAAGGTAGGACTGGCCAGGAGGGATTACTTCGACTCAGCCAGATTAAATATGTTTTGCAAAAAATCCCTGTTTTTATTGCAAAGTTTCCTAAAAAGGTACATAGGGTTGCAGAGGGTTTATCCAGAGCTTCTGTATGCAAAACTATAAACTCCTATAGGAGCAGTGTTTTTTTAAGTCGGTGCGCATGGATCCATAATCTTATGGGAGGATATATTTGTTGAAATGGCCTGCAACATGGTCTCCTGAGTTATACTGTATATGCTAAGGCAGAGAGCTAAATCATTTGATTGCACTGTAATGAAATGTAAAAAGCTAAAGACAAAATAAGATTTGTAAAAAATGTAGCCATGCGAAAGTATATGTTAAAAAAATATGCAATACATTTCTGCAATATATGCACATTTCCTTGTGTTTTTACCCCACAAGTAAAGAAAAATACCTAAAGATGGTCAGAAATGCATTCAGGTCCTAAGTCTTGTTTTAGGTTGACAACACTCAGCATTTTTTGGCAGGGGCGGACTGACCATTTGGAAACTCGGGCACTGCCCGAGGGCCCGGGGTAAGTGGGGGGCCCCATGAGATGCCCCTGGTACCTTTTTCATAGGCTTTTTTTAGTTTGGGCAAGGACACAGGGGCCCCATGATCCCCTATTGCCCGTGGGGCCCCATGAGTTGTCGGTCCTCCCCTGTTTTTGGGGACTGTTCTCAACCCTGTTGAGGATTAATCCAAGGGTTAACTTGTCTTTGAGATAGCGCAGGAAGTGAGAACTGCACACAGAATAGCTCTAAATTTCTGCCACGATCAACAGGTATTTTTGCAAAGATACAACAAAATACTTTTAATGGTATAGTTTAGCAGATCTACAGGTACAAATAGAAGTTCATTATTAGGGGTTACGTACACTTTAAACCTGTGTATCTCAGCCTGTAACCTTTAAAATGTAATTAATACAGGGATTGTAGTAAAGTTGGTTATTGCACATGAAAAAAAGATCACCTGTTATGCATTCAGCTATCAAACCTGGTTGTTAAAAGGTGAAAGCTGTCTGCTTCATGCATGGATGGTGTCAGCTCCTCTAAATTAACTATAAAGTTCCTGACCAAAAGCAGAGATGTAACCCTAACAATTTCACAAATATGGCTTCCTAAAATAGTTACTACAAGGATACTCTGTAAAACTAAAGTAAAATCAGTGTTTACAGTTAGTAAGATTTGCCTTGTATTTGTAATGCTACATTGATTGGAACTCAAGTAATTTCTTCAGTCTACTTCCAAAAAATGTCCAATGGCAACTTTGTCTCATTTTATGGTTGAATCAACATTGTGCTGCTATTACGATCATTAGTTAATATAAAGCATTATTTTTTTTTTTTCCTCATTTAAGTAAATTGAATTATTATAAAAACTAAGGATGAAAGAATGTTCAATAAGCAATTATTTCACTGCCCAATAAATGAATTGTTTTTAGGGAGAATTTAGGAAATGAAAAGTGGAACTTTGCAGCCAAAGGCTTAATACCTTCTTGTTTTATCAGGGCAAACTATTGCTTCAAAATGAAACAGATGGTACCGAACATATATTTGGCCTCAAAGGCATTGGGCAAGAACCCCTGGCTCTTGATCATATAGTGATAAATTGCCAAGTGAGACAAATTACACAGAAGGTCCTTATGGTGCCCAATTATACAAATGACAGATTGACATTTAAGGTAAGCTTTAGAACTTTTTCCCAGATATTGAAAAACAAGAAGTTTAAATGTTTCTATGCTAGCTTGTATAAGCATTTTTGTTAAATACAAGTCATCTATGTTAGTGAGTGCACTTTTTTTTTTGCATTGTGGGCTCAAGAAAGATTGTAGGCATTGAGGTGTGTGAATGTGTGCAGAAACGATTTGCAGATTACATATGACAAAAGCTGTTGTGAGACCTTTCTTTCCATTGCAAAATATGTTTATGTTTACAGCTACCTAGTTGTCCCAACTCTTTGCTGACAAGTTACTATACACACAGGTAACTTGAAGTGCTATATTTAGCTATGTTATCCTACTTGTTTATGAAGAGTGTTTCCCTTTTGTAAAGGCTACACCATTTCTGTTACTTTATACTGATTTATGTGCAGGGTAACAGCTTTATTTACAGTACCTGTAGAGTCCACCAAGCAAATCAAGGGATGGCAACTAAACATATGTTGAAAGACAGGCCTTTGAGACTGCTCTCAATAAATCTAGAAACGACAAAGAAAATTGGAAAAAACAACCACAGTTTATACATTTCGTGACTTGGTGCTGACATTGTATCCATGCTGTCCTAGGCAAAGGAGTTCAAATACCCAGTGGGAAATACAACCCTGGCTATCTGACTCATTAGACAAATAAGATGATGCTATTTTAAAATGAGAAGTTGAAAAATGATGCAATACTCTAAAACTACTTAGAATATGGCAATTCCATCCTTTACATCATGGTAACTTACATAACATTTTAAAAAGAACAAATAAATATAAACTTCTATTGCACTATGGCAGTTGCTGTAGTAGTCAAACTTTCTCCGCCATGACATGTAGAAAAGAATTGTTTACATGCAGGTCCCCTATTTGTGTGTATGAGTGTGGTGAGAATATTAAATTGTGAGCTTCTTTGGAGGAAAGAGATTTCTTGAATTGATCTTTTTAGTCTGTAAAGAGTTGAATGGTGGTGGTCTGTAATTACAGGAATTCTTTATCTGCATGTTTCCAAGGTAGCTGAAGTTTACCTTATGGAAAAGTTAGAGTTGAGTTGTTCATTATTTGAAAACATCATTACAAATGACATCTAAAGCTATTATATTTTCGATGACTGGCTGATGGATGAAACATAGAATTGAATAGATGTGTATATCACCCTGTCCCATAACAAGCACATGTAAGATGGACTTGAACTTATAGTTAAAAATGTTCTTAGAAAAGCTCTTTAAAACTCAACTATAACCACAACTTTTTAAAGTTTTGAAAAGTCTAGAAGGGTTAGAATGCTTGTCTACATATTTTTGCTGCCTGTGTTCCAATTTGCGCTAGTTCTTCTTACATTCTGTCAATTTGACTGGTTTTAGAAGTGAAGGAAGATCATCAAAATGGGGACAGATGCAGCAATAGACACACTTTATAGTAAATTAAGAATTAGAACCTCTGTCCGGTCTTTTTGCTGTCTGTGACTCCAGAAAGGAAATGTATTCAATTTGCTGGAGATGGATGTCAGATAGAATAGGAGAAAAGAAATAGCTTCCATGGAAATGTATTATTTTCATCTGTCTATTGAGAAAGTTTGACCAAATACCTTAGATGTTAAGAAAATGGAGTTGTTGGCCCTGTCATACCATTTTACTTAAAAAAAAAAAAAAAAAAATCCCACCTCAAGATCTAATACTTGCCTGTTTATTATGCTGTCAGATCCATACTGTGTGGCCCATGAGAAACCAGACAGCTGGTCCCACAGTCTTCTGTGCATATGTGTACCAATACCACTCATTCTATAGATAGGATATGTTTGGGTGACAGATGGTTTCTCCATAGAAATGAATGAGATTTTTTCTCTGAATTCACAGAAGACTTTGAGACTGACTGGAAAACTTTATAGTGGTGCCTATGCAGTTTTCCTTGGACTGCACAATGTGGACCTGCAAGGATCATGGACAAGTGAAATATTTGGTCATACATTCCCATTATCTGTGCTTCGGTTTTATAAATCTGCACAAATGAGTTCATTGTCATGGGTATTATAATTGTATATCCAACTTCTCAAAACTGATTTGTAGCACAATTCAATCACTTTTGCTTTGCATTTGTCTTCAGTGTAGATAACTTTTATTGATATATTAAAAGAGGATAATACTGTAACAGTTAATATCACATTTTACTCCAATTTAGGTGGTGTCAGATATTCCAGTCATTAGTGGACCTCAAACCTTAACTGTAAAGCCAGGAACATCATCTTCCTATACTCTTAGCATATCTCCATGGAAACGTGGCTTGTTCCAAGGTAATAAGATTGTATATATGTGTGACATCAGTTATACTGACAAGTATTAAAATGTATTTATAGCTTTAGAATGTCTTTTTAGCAGGGATAACAACAGTATCTAAGTGTTATCCTAAAACTTGCTTATGAGGATGCATTTAAAAAAAAATAGTTAAGGGTAAGTCACACACATAATACATGAGAGAAAGTAAGGGCTGTTATAATTAGTTGTTATACAAAAATGCTCATTTAAAAGTTGGGTACATTTTTTAATTTCCATTCTGGCCAGTGAGTATCAATCTTCACTCCAAAAAATAATGTGATAATTAGAAATAGTTTTTAGTAACTATATTTACATTGCCTGGTTGATTTGGGCATAGTAAATAGCAGAGAATATTTCAGTGTCCAAAATAGAATGTTTTAAAATCTTGCTAACAGTCGCATACTGTAGATGTTTGTACATTTTTAGAATGACTAAAAAAAATTTTTGCCACATAAAACTGAGGCCAGTGTATGGATTATAGTCTCTAAAATTATCTGTGTTATCTCACTTTTGAAATCTGATTGGTTGCTGTATATAACATCAAATAAGCTTTTCTCTATTTTTTTCCGTTAGATCCTTAGATGTACTCAAATGTATATTATCTGTGGTTGGTTTCTTTAACTCATACTGTATGTGAGCAGTGCAACATTTCCTAAGTGTGATAATAGATTAATGATATTAAGGTCAAATTAAAAACATAGTACCAAAAGGCATATTTCCAGTTTCCAGTATAATTAATTGCTAACATGTAAATCAAAAGTCAAGGTCCAAGAATAAATACGTAGTGAATTGAGGACTGTCTCATGCATGAATTAAAAACCTTCACTTATACAAAGAAATTGTGACAGTGCTATAAAATCATCTTACAAATTTGAAATCATACTTGTTGGTCTTCTTTTTATTGCACAAAAATGCAGTTTATAATAGATACAAAGGATCAAGTTGGAAATACTTGCTCTGCAAAGTACTCACTAGTGGGGATAATGGAAATTTGGAGTTTTTATTTTGCCTACATTTTGACAATATTTGGACTATTTTGATAAAATATGGCAATTAGGTGAAATGGATTAAAGACAGAGGAGAAGGCAAAATTAAGGGGTATTTAAGGGTGCAGTGTTGGATATGCTAACCCCAAAGTATATCAGTAACCCTAACCCTAGAGCCATCCCTAAAGATAACCCCAATTCTAATACTATAACAATAAACCATTTTTTACAAAGTAGTATTATTGTCCTCTCAACGCCATCCATGGTGATTACATAGTTTAGCAACTAAGCTATTAAACACCATGTCAGCACCACTGACATCAGATTTGGCACATGCAAAATTTCTTGAATTTATGTGTTTCTTTCTACCCAATAAGCATAACACATGCCATTCTATCTGCAAAATACCTGAAAGGCATAACACAGGGAGTACCGTGCTGTCGATCAGGGCAGAGGGGCGCTGATGTTACTGGAGTACACACCCTGAGGGGGAGTTCAGACCAAATCTGAATTTTGCACATTTCCCTTAAAGAACAATTTGTTTCTAACGAATTCAGTAAGCATCAGAGAAGCCAAAATAAAATATCTGTAGCTTCTAAATTACAATGCTTTATGTTTCCAGATCCTTTTTCAAAGTTACAGTAGGCATAAATATGGGGCCTGACTAAAGTAACTGACTACATTTTTTGGTAGTTTCACTAAATGTGTATGAAAACATCTGCAACACCCGGATTGATCATAACAAAGGCCAGCTGTTTTGGGAGTCACTTTTATGTAACTGTTCAGGGCATTGATAACAGTTCATTTTTATTTTATTTTTAAATGTTTAGTACGTGAGTTTTTGAAAAAGAGAAAACAGGTGGTGGTAAAGAAACAAAGGATATACTGCGTATTGTATAAATAATGTTTCTATAAACATTTCATATTACATAACTCATGTGGATTAAAGCATTTTGGAAGTCTACTACAAGGAAACCATAAGGAAATGTATCATTAACATTTTAAGAGATTGAATCTCTCAATCTGGAAGAATTAAGACTATAGAGAATATGCACACTATGTAGTGTAGTAAGTATAGGCATGTATTGGGGAACTAAAAGTCCTTTTCTGAAGAGAACCTGACCTGGTCTAAAATATTTCTTAGGTGACATTGGTGCCAAAATGCAAACACCTTGCAAGTTCTTTTAAAGTGGTTCTAAAGCCTCAAGGTTTGTTACCTTAATGTATTCCATGCATTAGGGTAAAAAACTTTCTGTATCATAGAATTGCCCCCTCACCCCCCTTATACTTACCTGAGTTCCATCACGATCCAGCGCTGTGCATGAGAGCTGTGGCTCTCCTGGCTTTGTCCTCCTCACTGGGCAGATCGATAGCAACAGGAGCCATTGGCGTTCACTCCTGTGAAGATTGTCGCCTTCCCTCCTCACCTTCAGGCACTCCCTGAAAACACACCTCTTCAGGGAAGCCTACCCCACCCTTACCTAACAGCCGTCCTCCTTCATTCCTGCTACCACTCCATCCCCCACAGCCACTTCCTCCTGTACCACTACCCCCTTCCTCCTAGATTGTAAGCTCAAAAGAGTAGGGCCCTCTAACCCCTCGTGTGCTGTTTGTTGTTGCTGTACTGTTTCATGTATTGTCCCCCCCCTCTATTGTACAGCGCTGAGCAAACCCTTTGGTGCTATATAAACTCGATGTAATAATAATAATAATAATAAAAAACTCCAGTGACGAGGGAGCAGGGGTTGGGGCTGAGTCCCACAGTCTGTGTCAACACGAGTCTACACAAAATGCCCCCAAGGGAATCAGCTTCCTATTGAGGGCACCAGAAGAGAGGAGGAGCCAGGAGCACCAGCAGGGACCCGAGAAAAGGAGGATCGGGCCAGCTGTGTGCAATTTTATTGCACAGAGCAGGTAAGTATAGACATGTTTGTTATAATTTTTTTCTTATTTTCCTTTACAACCACCCATGTAAGGTATTTAAGTGTACCTATACACCTATTTTTTTAATTGTAGATGAAGAAGTCAATACCCCTATCAGGTTGTTATTAGTTTCTTTTCCCCCTCAAGATAGCTGTTTGTCTTGGTGATTATTGATACTAGGAATTAAAGTAATGGGAAAATCCAAAATTTGAATTGCCACCAGAACAGGAAAAGGGGGTACATTTTCCAATGGGATCAAAACAGTCTCAGAGAGAATTGTCCTCACTTTAGAGTTTTCCTCTTACTTCCTGTTGTGGTGACAGAAAGTGAAGGAAAATCTTGCCAATAAAACACAGATTATGAAACAAACAAACAAAAAAAATACAGGGGTCTTAACTATAACTCTGCTCTATCTAAAGTGAAAAAAAAAAAAACACTTTAGGTGTAGATATACTTTAAATTGATCCATTCAAATGTCCAATTTCAGAGTCTCTGACGTTTAAGGACTAGCAGGGGAAGGTGAATTTGAAATTGGGCCTAGGATCCAAAGAGCACCACATGGACATGAGCATGGATGTAAAGACTAGCACCATGTTTTAGACCAGGTCATATTTATTTTAGGACAGCAATACATGGGGCTATAATGAAACAAAGATGAACCAAAATAATTTGATTTTCATGCTTACATCCTCACAGGTGTTGATAAGAAATATTGAATGGTGAATTTTCATTTTCAAAAATCTTTGATTTTTCTCCCATGGCATGGCTGTGACTGGTTATTACATATAGCTACATAATTACATAGTTCATCCAGTTCAACCCCAACCCCCCCCCAAAAAAAAGTTCTAAACCTATACCCACAGTTGATCCAGAGGAAGGCAAAAAACCCAGCAAAGCATGATCCAATTTGCTCCTGCAGGGGAAATAAATCCTTCCTGGTCCCCTGAGAAGCGATTGGATATTCCTTCGATCAACTTTACCTATAAATGTTAGTATTCAGTTATAATATGTGTATCTAGGAAAGAATCCAGGCCTTCTTTTAAAGCAATCCACTGAGCTGGCCAGAACCAACTCTTGAGGGAGTCTATTCCACATTTTCACAGCTCTCACTGTGACGAAACCATTACAGATTTGGAGATTAAATCTCTTTTCCTCCAGATGTAAAGCATGCCCCCTTGTCCTCTGTGATGACCTCAGGGTGAATAACTCAACACCGATTTCACTATAAGAATCACTGATGTATTTATACATGTTGTTTCATATCCCCCCTTAATCTCCTCTTCTCAAGAGAGAATACATTCAGTTCCTCTAACCATTCCTCTTATCTGTTTGGTTTCCTTTCTCTGCACTTTCTCCAGTTCCTTTTTGTGAATTGGTGCCTGATACTGAACTGCATTATCCAGATGAGGTATTATTAATGATTTGTACAGGGGTAAAATTATATCTCTCTTTCTCTGGAGTCTATACCTCTTTTAATACAAGAAAGGATTTTGCTTGCTTTAGAAACCGCAGCTTGGCATTGCATGCCATTGCATGCCATTATTAAGCTTATGATCTACCAGAACTCCCAGATCCTTCTCCACCATTGATTCCCCCAGTTGTACTCCCCCAAGTATATATGATGCATGCATATTCTTAGCCCCCAAGTGCATAACCTTACATTTAGTTGCCCAATTTAACAGTGCATTGAGGTGTGCTTGTAAGTTGGAGACGTCCTGTAAGGACGTTATTCCATTGCAAAGCTTGGTTGTCATCTGCAAAGACTGAAATGGTATTTTTAATCCCAGACCCTATATCATTTATAACTATATTAAAAAGTAAGGATCCCAACACTGAACCTTGGGGTACACCACTGACAACCCTACACCATTCAGAGTATGAATCATTAACCACTACTCTGAATATGATCTTTTAGCCAGTTTTCTAGCTATTTACATAGGGATTTTTCCAAGCCTGTAGACTTTACCTTACACATTAGCCGTGTGTGGGGAACTGTGTCAAATGCTTTTGCAAAATCCAAGTATACCATGCCCACAGCCACACTCTGTCTAAGGTTTTGCTCACCTCATAAAAAAAAATCAGATTTGTTTGACTACTT